GATACCAAAGACTATCACGGTGAAATGATTCGTTTGCAAAAGAATATTGACGACTGGACAGAACAAGAATATTCAAAAGAAACGAAAGAGTACAAATCGAGTACTGCATCTCTGAAACCATCTAAGAAAATACCAGAAGAATATTTAACTACAGTTGCCTTAAATGATACTGAAACCACTACTGAATCTATAATACCAACTACGATTTCAAGTAATTTTGATAGTGTTGATAGCGAATTAAAACAAAATATAACTATCATAGGTCACATAAGTAATAGCTTGTTCGAGTCTAGTGTTTCCATCAATACTGACTCCAGTGACGAGAAAAACTCTTGGAAGAAAATAGAATTATCAGTTTCTCCAGTAACGAACGAAAAGGTGTACGTTGTGACGCCTGTGCCATGGTCAAAAAAATCATATAATTGGCCGGAATTGAAACCGTCAGGTTTCGTTTTACCGAAATATATAACTGAAAAACCCAATTTAAGCAGTGATGGTATAAATGCAACCAAAGTCAGCTTGCCAGAATCCGGTGAGTTTACTTTTATATAATCCTAATATAAATATAATAGTCGAAGTATAAAAAAATTGTGTCACTAGGTTATAATTTCTCATTTTTGTTTTAAGTTTAATTGAGTTTTATATTAATTAACATATATTTGCTAGTATATATTGTTTAAATGCAGTTATAATTCAATTTTTATTACTGAATATAATTCATATATAAATATGTAATTCAAATATTGGAAACTGGTCACATCACTTACATTCAGCATATTTTCCATATTCATCTACTAGCATAACGAAGTAGACCATTTTTCCTACAGCTAAGGAAACGTATAATATGGCGTTAATGTGCGATATTTGGTGCAAAAATCACAAATAAAATATTATTTAAACTAATCTTACAGTATGTGGTCTCGATGTATAACATACATCCCGCTTCAAAATTATCCTTCCTATTTTGGGTTTGTCCATCAACAATATTATCGATCATCTTTGATCAACTACCTCAAAATTTCTAATCTCCAAGATGCTGTTTACATGCATGTTTTATTTAAATAGCACTAAGCCACTAAGTGCATTTTCGCATAAATAAAAGTCTTAAAATGAAGAAACCCATTAGTATTATCTTTCCTGAGAAGAATGCGGACTTCAACCTAAAGAGGCACGTATTGCGCATTACATATGTAATCATTTCAAATTTGCTTCAGCTACCATTTATTTCAAATACTTTCAATTTTATGTCTTGTAACTTAACTTCCTGTCGTATTTTACAAAAGTCGGAGTAGATTCTCTTAGATTCTTTATCACATTATCACTTGACTCTTTGGCACTTTCTACTTTACTTCTATTGTTGAAACTCTTTTTCTTAGCTGGGAATATTTTACCGAGAAAAAATTTAACTATGTTACTTATTATAACCTTGCAACGAAATTCTCAGGAACTAGACATTGTCGCAGCAAACAAAGAAACCGATAATTAGACATCCGACTGTGGTTTACAGAAAACTAAAAATTAATTTGTAGTTACACAGGTGTAATGATTAAAAAATAATTTCGAGTAATTTAGGAGTTTGATCTTGTTATGTGATGATTAATTGCGGCAATGCAATTATATACATTTTGGATAAAGGAATTTTAATTAAAATAATATACCTCACTACCTCACATGCATTAACTGCCAATATAGTATGTCAAAATTATGGATAATATAAAAAGTGCATTATCAATCAACGTATTTTTTATGATTGTACTTACAATTAGTGTCTTAGTGCTACTTAGGTAAAACATGCATGTAAACTGCATCTTGAAGATTAGATATTTTGATCAAAGATGATCGATAATATTATGGTTGAGCAAAGCCTATTGGAAGGATTGTTTTCAGGCAGGATGCCCTTTATAAGTAGAGATAACATGCTGCAACAATATATTTAAAGCTTATAAGCTTTAAAAAAAAATTTAGATCATAAAATTTTATTTGTATTTTTTGAATCCAACTTTACTCATTAGTGGCAAACTTATGTAACAGGAAAAATGGCCTACTTGGTTCTACGAGTAGTTTTATGATTGCTACGAATTATGCTATGATTGAGTTATCTAAAACATGTTCTGAATTTTTTTGAAAAGCCTATTTGGAATTTTAATTAGGAGGAACTAAATTTTTGACCAGACCAATATATGAAAATAAGAAGTATTTTGAAAATAATATCAAATATAATAATAAATATAAATACCAATTATAATTAATTCGTCTGAAAAATTAACAAGCATTACAAAATTCGTATGCATCACGTTTAGCCCAATTCATATCTCTTATTCTTATTCCATATTTTTTATAAAATAAATGATTCTGAAAGGAATAAACCAAAAAACAGATATTCATTCGATATTAAAATAATCAGTTCGATAACTAGTTATTAAATATTATTTATTAAATATCATTAGGGGTTGGAATTAATATCTCGCCTTTCAAGCAAATGGTGTATGTAATCGAAGCTATATTAATTACATTTATCATAAACATTAAAATATAAATATGAAAAAAATTAACGATAGGTTTATAAACAGAGCACTTGATTTTGAAATATTAAATAATAATAAAGTCAAAAATATCAAATTAAAGTTTAAATTTGATAAACAATAATTGTATTTACTTTCATTGCAAGACCAAAAAGGAACTAATGAACAACTGCCCATATAGATGAAAGAAGGTTTCACATAAAAAATTCAACTCGATTCCTATAAATGATTTTTCTGGTGAGAGAAAAAATGTATGGATCGGTTCCAACGTTTTCCAAAAAACTTAAATAGATAATGAATTGATTTAACAGCTGGCTCGACAATATTTAAACAATTTAACCATTTCTAAAATTATTGTAAAAGGATAAAATTAACAATAAAATTTTATTCATATGCAGCATTTTTTTTTTAACTATATGAGCCTCGTATTGGTTTTAATAAGTAAAATAAATATACAAATATGTATAGCTGATTGGAACTCGTTTTCGACTATAACCTATATATATCATACGGAAGCTGATATATGGGGAATTAAAATAATTTCTAAATACAATCATAGACGTGAACTTCAACGCCTGGGAACGATTTCAAATCATAATTACTCTTACAACAGATTTCTTGTACGATTTTGATTCAATGCTAATTGAGTTCCCGCGCGTCTGTCGCTCGGATTCACTTTGAGTTTTTCCTAGTCGTTATAAATCCATATCATAAATTTTTAAAATTATTTTATTTATACATATGCGATAAATTGGCGAAAAATTGTGTGACATTTTTTAGGACCTGCGATTTTGATGCAATTATGGTATTGTGGTGGAAATAATCCTTCATCAAGAAAATCATAAAAATTTGAGTTAAAGGCATTTTGCCTTAGGGGACGTCCATTAATCACTTGATCAATTTTTAAAGATTTTTGGAACCCTTCCTCCCCCTTGATGATATTTAAAATTACCCCCTTCCCTGATTAAACATTACGTGTATTAAGCACCTCGAAAAACAGAAATTTTTGGATTTTTTTTTTTAATTTTTAAATTTTATTTTGATTTCAGGTGAAAAATAAATTCATAAGGTATTTTATCTGACTCCCCCCCCTCTTCACGTGATATTTATTGATATTTGATCAAACCTCCCTCTTTTAAGCACCACGTGATTAAAGGACGCACACTTATTGTTAGTTGAACAAACAAAAGGTGTAAACAATTCGGCTTAAACGATAAAATTTGAGATTACGTGTTTAGATAAAATTTACTTTTGTAATTTATCTGTTTAATTCAAAAACACAGATTTTGCTTCCACTTAAACTAGTCAATGTGATTTTAAATTGATATCCTTCAAACAAATTTATAATATCTGTAATCGAATTAATTATTCTGCACAAACAAGCGTTTGATGTGTGTCCAAAAATTGTGGCCTTTTTTCCAAACTTCAATGAGAAAGAATATTTTAAACCAAGAACCTTATCGTCGTGTTAAGTTTCATTAAAATAGCAAAAAAAAATTAAAATTATACTTTCAAGTAATAGGAATAAATGGCAAAGCGGGTTTGTTTCAAAAACTAATCAGTACGATATCCAACTGATATCTTTTGGCGAAAATTTTTGCATTTTTCTATTAACTATAAAAAACGACTAGGCCGATCCTCGTGCAAAACTAAACAACACCAGTCCTTTTCGATTTGCATCAAATCGCTTCTGAATTTTCGAAATCGGTTCAGCAGTTTTTGAGAAAACGTCCATCCAATGTTAATTTGGGTTCACGTACAAAAACATTCATTTACAATTCTGGTCTCAAACGATTTAGAACAACTTAAAACGTCGAGAAAACGAGCAAAAAATATAATAGAATTAGCAAGTTGAATTTTCTGGCGAAAACAAACATCAGAAAGTTCAAAATTTGAAACCTTTTCAATTTCAGCACAAAAAAATGGATAATTCAATATTCAATTCAAGATAAATTGTAATTTGCAAATTATAAATTTTCTTGAATTAAATCTTAAATTCTTCATTTTTTGGTGTGGAATTTTTGGAATTTTTGCTTTATGATTCTCAGGAATTTATCATATGATCGATGTGAGTTGGGATTGTATCCTTAAATACTTATTATCAATAACTAGTTCTAGTTGGTAATTTATACAATCAAGCCCTGAGGAAAACAATGTTTATCAGTGGTTTAATCGAAAATCTATAAGTACTTCGAAATATTTAATTTTTTAACCCTCCGTCGGTCGGAGTGGTCTGGCCAGACTTTTTTCGACTTCAATTTAAAAAAATAATACTTTTGGTAATCCTATCGACTTGAAATTTTTGAATTTATCCTAACATTTCATTAACTGTCGATCAATGAATAAATCAGGACAAAAAATGTGTGATCTGGCCGTTCGAATGTAAATAAATATCCGACCGACGGAGGGTTAAATATTAAACACATAAATTTTCAAAAAAATATATCAATTATAATCTAATTGTCATTTGAATTGCAGTGAATAATCTGGCGGCTACCAGCACAAAGGCTTACGTAGCGGAGGTCCTGCATGCTACGAGCGAGACCCCAAAGTCTCAATTAACAGAAAATGGATCACAAAAAACCAACGATAAAACATAGGAATAATTTTACATTCTTTAGTTAAATTATACTAATATGAAGTAATACAATTTTTCTACAGATACGTTAAAATGCTTATTAACCAGTTAACTGTGATTGACAAATCGTCATGAAGAAGGGGTAGAAGTTTGGCGAGTATACTCGCTATCAGTGGCGGGTCCAGAGGGTGGGTCACGAGGGTCATGACATCCCCTTGAGCTTGTCTTAAGACTTAGATAGAACACTAATTCAGCAATAAAATTACTTCATAATGGTTTAATTTATCCATTTTAGTTTACTCTTCTTTTATCTATGAATTTATCTATTTTGTTACCAAACACATTTTATAACTTCAATATGTATTCAACGGCGGCGTCAAAGAATCCTAAAATTTAAGGATGTTCTAATCGTATTGCGAATATATTTTCTATACATAATTTAATTATGTGACTCCCCGCCTGGCGCCAAAGCTGAATCCGCCATTGCTCGCTATGCATATAAACCTTTGACCATACCCTTTTGAAAAAAAACTAAACATTTTCAAATTTCAATATATTTTGAGGAATAAAATAAATAGTTGCAAAGCGGTTTTGACAGCATGAAACTGCGTGCACAGATCAAAGAAAATGTCGCAGTTAACTGGTTAATTTATTGCATTATTTTTATTAGAATCTTTAACCGTGGATTATTTCTATTAAAAGTTATTAACAACGCCAGTGAATATTTAACATCGAAAATACCAAAATCGAGTGATATAACAAAACGTCAGTCTCTTACCCCTAGACAATATAATAATGCTCTTACCTGCATTTCCATGATGGTCGTGTAAGGTGTCCTGCAATGGGCCGAGCCAACAAAGTATTTTTAGCACGTGTTATCATCAACTCAACTAAAAGATATTATGTTTAATAAAACAGGTTTGGTAGCTAATGATATATTAATGTCACTTCCCAAAAGTAATTTGCACTGCGCCAAAAATGTCCTTCATGTAGCTTCAATTCTTGGTTAAGTGTTAAGGTCCTTCCGTCCTTCCATGTGCCCAAACTGTCACTGACGGATAATGACGATAACTGGCGTCATGCGCAAGCGCAGACATTTTTGATTGGTTTTGATCCCTTTTGGTTCGGACAGAAGAGAAGGACCCTAAATGTAAACATATCTTCTAAATGTGAATGGTCATGTTATTTTAAAAGGTTTTGCGTAAGCGTTATAGAAAACAACCTCGCATAATATCATATTTCGACTTCACCACAACATGGCACAACAAACCATCTGCCACCAACCACCTTGCAGATATTGCATATTTCTTTTTGGCTTTTTAATCAATTGTATATAAAGCACAAATGATTAAAAATACTGATTATTTTTTCACATAACCTGTTGAAATTTAACACAACTATTAGGCTTTTGTCATGAAATTTTAGGACAAATAGAATTCAGAAGTATTTAAGCAACAAAAATTCCAATTAAAGTCTGTGAAGAACATTTCAATACAACTTGGTCATTTTTACATCAAAAGAAGCATTCTTTTGTAATTAATAAACTATTTTACATGGAACAATATTATTATAATATAATGTAATAATGAATTGTTACTTCATTATTCAACATATAGTACAGGCTTTAAAATATTTTTAGCTTTTTCGGCTAAATGCAAATTCGTTTATCCAAAATCATATTATTGTCCTCCTTTTATTAAAATTTTATAACTAACAGAAATTATAAACTTAAAGTTAAGATAAAAATAACTTAAATGTTAAGATAAAATAAGTTTAAATAATTACGATTAAGTTTAGAATATAAATACATCTAAGTCATTTTGTATTGATAATTTAATGAACACTCTTTAACCTTTAACCACATGCAAACGATTATGTAAAGATAAATGGGACAATTAAATGATCCATTTTTGACATAAGGTTCATCTTAATGCAATTTATAACTTAAATATTTAATTTCCCCTATCTTTATATAATTAATAGAACCGAGGAACTTTTTAGTAGACTTTAGTAAATGGAACTCATTATGCCCTTATCATTAATTAATGAGTAATAATCATTTACATCTGTAATCATTAATTAAACTGTAAAAAATCTTGAGCAAAATATTTTAAAAACACACCATTGATTTTATTAATATATATACCTCTATCTATTAACAATAATTTTTATAGTAGGTTATCTCGCTGTTTATGAATGAAGAATTATATCAAATACTGTTAATTGTAATAATTTCATTTAAATACTTATATTGCAACCAAATTAAAATAATTTAATTCACAATAATTTTATATATGTAATGCGTAACCATGCTTATTAGAATGTAATATCATTAAGTTTTGCTTTGTAAATATTCTGCAATATAATAAGTAGTATATTAAGTAATTTTATTTACCTAATAGCAATAATTTAGCATTATTTATTATTAATTTTTAATTTGCATGTAATTCCATAATTGTAGAATCAAAATAAATATATTTTATACCTGAAATATTTTCTTGATAATAATTTTAAAAATTGCCGTTACGTTCTGAAAATATTCTAGTTTCTCACAGATACAGTTTTAAGACAAAACTTTTATTTAGATAAAACTTACATCTGTACATTTTAAGCTTATCATAATATGTAAAGCAAATGAAAGCGATTGTGAATGATGAAAATCTAAGGTAAAAAAGATTAAATTATATCACATTCTTAATTAAACTTAATATCAGCATTGAGTGGGCAACCTGCAATTAAAATAATAAATTCAATAAGATTTTTAGAAAAAATAAATAAAGTTTTATTAAAATTTGAATTCAAGTATATTATATATAGAAAAGAAGAATTGTATAATCAATAATTTTATCATCATTTAAGTGAGATTTTTTGGAAAAAGAAGGAATATGATTTTTGGAACATAATGTATGTTCTAATTTGCTTTTAATATTAATAGAGTGAAAAGAATGGTAATTAATGTGTATACCTAAAGATAATTACATCAAAATTATATGTGATGATTTTTAGAATTAAGAAAACGATAATTTCATTTAATTCATGATCACAAGAGTACATTAAAGGAAATAAATAAATGAAGCTTGTTGTGAATGTATTAAAATGTATTTTAAATGAACTTACCCATGTTCTGTGATTTGTCCATTGAAAAGAATGTCAGACCGGCTGTTAACTAACCACACTATGAAAAATGAAACTAATAATACAAAAACACCTATTCCTAAAGTAAATGTTTCATGAATCACTGATGGTCGTAAAAACATTCTGGCTGTGATGTCACGCCATGTTGACTCAGTCCATGTAGAATATTTTCCGGAAGACCAATCATAATCTAAAAAATATAAATTTTCTTATAATTTAATTAAAATATTTACTACATATTGTAAATTAAAAAAGTATATAAATACTCTTTCCAAATAAATAAAAATTGGTGAGAGACTAAGAATGAAAACAGATTAAATAATAATTGATAATTAACAAAATTAAAGTTGATAAAATAATTAAAAGGCAACACTTAGATTTATATCAATTTTTATTTTAAAGAATTTTTACCTTCATCCAGAAAAGCAGGACTTACTGCCTCACTGTAATTAGCATGTGTTTGAACACATAAACCTAAACCATTAAATCCTGCTACCCACGAATAAGGTAGGAACTGAAAAATAATAATTTTATTATTATATATTACGTATAGCAATATGCAGAAATACTAAACATAATATATTATTACATCACAGTCTTCTTCAGTTCTATTGGAACTGCTTCCAGTTAGAAATGCTAAAACTCTAGCTGTCCAGATTGTTGCATCATTAATATACCCCGCAACACCAACATACCTACAAAAGTAATGGTATTGTTAAATATACATTTCTTTGTATTACAATAAAAATGTATAAAACAATTTTATTGATATATAGTGATAAAATAATATTGAAATACCTATAGGGAGGTGTTGGAGAAACATTATTTTTATTTGGTGGAGAAACAGCTCTAAATGCTATGCAGTCGGCACTTTCTAAATAGCAGTGTAATAGTTCATCAATCTGCAATTAAAAACAAGTTATTCAAAATATTGCCTTTGAATGTAAAAGGTTATGATGTAGTCTACAAATTCTAGCAAATATGCCCAAATCATCTTAAAACTTTAAAAATAATAAAAGAAAGGGAGTTGAAAATAAAATAATACATTGAAACAAATATATGAACTAGATGTAAGTGAATGAAAGTTTTTAAGAACTGATAAAAACTTCGGAAAGTTAACAATCACTCCTTCAATATAATTTTTCAGATAAAACAAAATTTAAAAAAATATGAAATATGTATAAACAAACTCACCAAATATGGATTTGTTCCAAGTTCACCAGTTAATGACATATTGGTAATTTCTTGATAAAGAGCCATTCCTAAAGTGGTTGATATATTTCTTACCAGAATCTGAACAGAGTCTGGGTTGAAATCACCAAAATTACTTAAATTCATGAGTTTGCTAAGATCATCTGCAGCCTCAGATGCATTTATGTATTGATATTTAATATTTGAAGCACTGTCATATACAGAATGATAGTAAGGATTTACAAATTTATCATCTGTGGGACAAAGATTATTATTAGAAATTAATAATATATAATATTAATTCATGGCAATACATTTTATATATTTGTGCAACAAATTGAAATTCTCCAAAAACTGAAAAATTTAAATTTCAATAACTATACTCACCAAAATCTGTAAGCACCATTGCAGGTGCTTTAATATTATCATTTGAATAGAATGTTCTAATGGAACTTGGAGGAAGTCGTTGGGATGAATGAAATGTTATACCAAACTTATTTTTTTCAGAATAAGTTTTCATATTTTGCAGAAAATTGTCAATCTAGAGGGAAAATAAAGTTCAAATTGATAAAATGCTGATTTTATTATATAAAATATTTTACTATGTAAAAATTTCGATTCCAGATACATTTTTCAAAATTTGAATCCATTTGTATTCCAATATCTAATTTAACCATTTTTTAAATTAAAAATGGGTAAATTTAATTTCTTACAATTCTACTAATTGTAAGAAAATCTTGCTTCTTTACCATATCGAGTTCTTTTTTTAAATCTTGCAAATTCCTAATTGTTTTAAATTTTCTAAATCAAAATTTATCATGAATAAATGTTTAAATGTAAATTTTTATATTAAATTGATTTATGAAATAATTATATTTTACATCTCACTATTTGAAATTTATATGGATATATGAATCAATACAAAAATTTGATATGATTACACAAATTCAAAAAAATATTAAATAGATCAAAAAATCCCTATCCATTTTGTAAATGTTATTATTATTCTTCAAATGTGACTATATTTATATACAAATAATAAATATGTAAATAATGCTATATAGATTACCTTTGGATTATTTTGTGCATAATGGGAAGAAAGGTAATTAGGTTTCCCACCTAATGAGCCGATTTCTATTATCATGTCAAAATCCTCAAACACTATATTATCTTGTTTCGGTGGGAATGATCCTTTTTCAATATCATAAAGTAACCTTTGCGAACCAATGTAGTCATATGACTCACCATTTAACAATAAATAAAATATGTTTTTATCTAGAAAAAATGATTAGATGAATGTTGAAGTAAATAATATGAAAATAACTTTTGTATTTTACCATATGACTTCTTTATATTATTTCTAACAAGTAAATAATTGAGCATGTTTGCAGTACTTAAAAGTGTAACAAATGACAACAACGAATCCATTGCTCCCGGAGCGATACCTATAAAAATGTAAAAATTAAATATGAATGTTCTTGCTATTGAAATATTTATCATATATATTGAATATAATGTACTAGTGCTTTTGAAATATATCAGATTTTGTATTTTACAGCAAAATTGGCTATAGTTTTAATCAAGAATATATAAAATGCAATAAAATTATTAATAACATGTGAGATTTCAGCATAGCAATAACATTAATAATGTGATAAGAAATAAAAAATGGAAATATAAATTATGGAATAATAAAAAAGAATGAAACATACCATCAAACATGGAAGTAGTGTCAATTCTAGCCATAAGCAAAATTAATTTTTCTCTTTCTTCTGTTTTTGTCAATGATTTTTGAATCTTCTTCTCTGTAAACTTATCTACAACTGAATTATCATCTGTGTAATGTTTCATTCCATTCAATTCTGTCTTATATTCAAAAACTGTGTTGTTCGATGCATTTAATGAATCATCAATATTATTGTCAGATGAATTAACATAAGGTCTAGGAAATAATGTTGCAAATATATTTTTATCTCCTAATGGATCACAGAATTTGACAGGACTTAAATTCTTAGATAATTCAGAACGTCTATGACAAACTTTCGAATTGGCAGCAGCTGCCATGAATGAAGACAATTCTACACTACATAAACTTCTTTGAAATTGTTTTTCAATATCAAAATTATTGAATTTTTCAAAACATTTATATAACAAGTTAATTTGCTCTTCGTCACTAATAAAAAGTATAGGAAATGGAAAGTCTTGATGCATAAGATTACTTCCATATTGATTCCAGCTTTTAAGGGGATCACTTGCATCACAATATTCATCATGTTTTCCAATGAATTGATTAGGGCATTTTGATTCAGTACTAAATGCATTTAATGATTCAGTGTTGTTTGTTACTATGACTGCAGTAACACGTGCGCTTTCTTTTAATTGCATCATATTATGATCATTAAAAAAAATTGGTGGCATTAAAACTGCATAAGGTGGAGATGTACCCGAATTTAAAACAAATTCAAAGTCACTCTCTGAATGTATTGCATGAAGAGCTCCTACAGATCCCTGACGGGCAGCTGAAATATTAGAAGACTAGTAAATTATATTTAAAAGTTAGAGTACTCATTGATATTTATATCAAAATAAATGTGTGCCTTAGTAATTATACTAGAGTACTGATCAAGACTGAAAAGTTAATGTGGGTAAAACGAATCATATTATTATGATACAGGAATTAATTCCAGAAGCAGTCTGGAAATAATCTAAATTTTAAGGCAACGGGACCCTGAGAACTTACATGTGCAACCTGTCTGATGAGTAGCATTTAAACGCCTAATGCAGCTAGCTCCTGTTATAGGAACATACATTTTATCTCGCGTTCTTTCTCCATGACCTAAAATAATAATATAACTTATTATTCCGGTTATTAACATAACCACAATTCGAAAATTAATATCTTAACTTACAAAAATAAATAAAACTTATAACTAAAATTATAAATACATAAATATTGTTAATCATTTTATACAATGCATGAAAGTTGTTTTAATAATTCTAATATAAATTGACGTGCAAAGTGACATTTGTGTTATTAGTCATTTTTATCTGTCTTTCTTTCACTTTGAAACAACTCTTAACTTAGCTGATTTTATCTTAATGCACAATGTGTCCAACAACAGAAAAATAAAATTGAGTAGAAAATTTAAAAATTTGAATTTTT